CGCCTCCTCCTCCTCCTCCTGATCCTTCGCGCCCACATGGGGTGGGGCGAGATGGTGGGCTTCTTCGAAGGCGGAGAGGGGTTCTTAGAAGCCAGGGGCGTGCCCAGGAGGCCTCAGAGGCTCCTCGTAAGGTTTCTCAGACGCCGTTCGGGCTTCTTATACATCCTTCCTCCCTTTTTGGAAGCCTTGCCGCTTTCTTAGAGGGCCGCCGCAGCCTTCTCAGGGGCGCCGCAAACCTGCCGTTGCCAGCCTCGAGCCCGTCCCCATCCCTGAGACTGACAAGCCCGAGGCGATGGCAGTGGTGTGCCCTCAGACACCAGGCGACTTCTTGAGGTTGGCACCGAGATGAGGTGCTGCCAAACGTACTCTGGATTTCTTAACAAGCGTGGGGGGGTAACCCCCCGACGGGGGTCAACCTCGCCTCATCGTGGCGCCGCGACGGGGGTCGGAGCGCCTTCGGCACGCGGTGGCTGCCCGCGACGGGGGTCGATGTGAGTCTGTCGGCGGGGGTGACCCCCCCCCGACGCTTATCGAGAAACTCGGAGTATGGATACGGGTGTGCTTCAGCCTGGTAACGAGAGGGGAGGGCTAGCCGCCCCCTGACTGGGAGGATCGATCGAGGCTGCGGGAGGCCATTGCTCTCTGTGGGGCCTCCGGGTCACTCCTGCCGCCACCCAGGCATCCTCGCGTCGTGAAGACGTAAGCAACGGCAGGTTTCTGGCAAAATGCCTGCCCGCGAGTAAGGGGCCAGGACGAACAGTCCAGTCGGTCCGGGGCAAGTGGTCCAGGCCTCTGGGAAGCCACGCTTTGGAAGGAAGGCGCGACGCCGGATGCCTGGGCACGGCTGGGCTCCCTTCGAGGTTGTCGCCTGGAAGGGCTCCTGGAGGGAGGGGTCCGACTTTGTGCTCGGGACCTCCCGAATGGGGCCCGAGCAGGCAGTGTCGGATGATCGCGGCCGCATCGCTGATGCATCGGCGATGCGGTCTGGTCCCGGGTCCGATTTTCTCCGTTTCGACGTCGTGCGTCGGCGAGCCATCGGCGCTGCAGCGGCGATGCGGCGCGACACTCCGGCCCAATCTTCTCCGGCCCCAGCCGGGAGGCCTCCATGACGGGAGCAGGCCCGAAGCCATCGGGAAGGGGAGGCCAACATGCCCTTGTCGGGAGGGTCGCAAGGCGCCACGACGGAGAGGGGTCCTGCGTGCAACGGTCATGCGGCAGGTTCGTGTCGCGTCGACGTGGTTTTGTGACCCCAGCAGGGGCGTTCAAGGTTCATTGCCGCAGGCGGCCCAGCAGAGTCGCCCGCTATCGGGCTGCCTGCGTGTGCTGCTGGAGAGGCGCGGTCGTTCGAGTTTGAACGATCCGCGCGGTGTCATAAATCAACAAGCACGTCGTCGCGGCACGAGCAACATGATGGCCACCGGGGTTCAGGACCTGTTTCCTTCAGGACCCTTTCTGCCTTCATGATTCGACATGGGGACGGAAGTAATGGGGACGAAAACGGGCAGCATGTCTTGTCTCTTGTCCACTTGACGAGGAGTCGCTGTCGGTGTCGCAGCGGACGTTGTCCAACCGAGGTAGACGTCGCCTGCTGACACCGCGGCCGCTGCTGGCTCTGGACAACGCTTTCTGCAGGTCATCGTTCCCATGCTTTCCGTCACCGTTTCGGGCTGGCTGGCTTCAGATCCAGGCATCGCAGAAGTACCAGAAACGTTTTTTTTGTGTAAACCAAATTCGGCTTTCCGGAGGCCGTTTCCTGGCCCTGGGAGTAAGTCAGGTTTGTCCCTCTACAGGGGGAGTATTCAAAGATAGTGAAAACAGCACATCTGGGGACGATTTTTTTTTCCTATTCTGACGATTCTTTGGTATTTGTTGACTATGTGTTACTTTTCGTCCAAAGTCCGCCTGTAGGAGGACACGCCCGACCTACCCCTGGGACCGTCGAGCACCGCTCGGGATGCCGGGCCAGCCGCATGGAAGGGATATCGACATCCGCTGGGGCCCTCCCCGCCCCGGGAAGGCGGCGCTGCTGGAGGCGAGGGCCGCCGAAAAGCCCGAAGCCTTCGCACATCCTTTATGCGTTCTCGGCTCGTCTTGTGGAAGTCGATCAATGGAGGGGGAGCGCGTTGCCAAAAAAATTCCCAGATGCCTATGTCAAGAATGTCTTAAACATGTGTACAACATGTTTTCAAGCATCTTCAGAACATGTTTCAAACATTCCAAGCACATTAGTAATTCAATGATCGGATTGTTAGAGTGCCGATTGTCATGACATCCACAAGGCTCTTCGGCCTCAGAGATGCCCCGAGACGGCCCCCGGAGGCCCCGAGAGGGACCCGAGACGTCCCCAGGACGGCTTCGGGACGCGGCCAGCATAGCAGGAATACCTCCTCCTGTATAGCTCCGGCTCTCCGCGCGGACAAGCCGTGGTCTGGACGGCCAGCTCTCTCAGGCGTTGGGTCAAGTCCGGCCTGTCCCTCTACAGGAGGAGTACTCAGAAATAGTCCCAGAGAGTATGTTTTTTTTTGGAGGACGTGCGAGCATTTTAGAAAACAAACTCTCGCCCTTGTGGCAACTTTTTTTCCGCCCCAGATCCGCCTCTGTAGGAGGACATGTCAGGAGGAAAAGAAACACACAGACACAATTAATCGGCGATTCCCCAGAACAGATGGGAAAACATGGGAAGTGGGGGGGAAGACAGACACCCCCCGAAATATGGGAAAATAAGGGGAATCCTTTTATTTGTGTGTATTTATTTGTGTGTCCTGGGGCCTGACATGCCCGACCGAAGTGTTGGGCCTCCGAGCGCCCCGGCTCGGGCCCCGCGGCGTGCGCCTGCGCGTGCCTGCGGGGGAGGCGGCCAGCACTGCGGGCGGCGCGCGTCTGCGCGCCTCGTGGCGCCAGGGGCGCCGACAGAGTCTCGCGGTGGCTCGGCGGGGCCACCGCGGGGCGAGCCCCAAGGAGGGCGGGGGTTGAGCGCCCCTCTCCTCCTCCTGCTGCTGCTGCTGCTGCTCCTCCTCCTCTTCCTCCTCCTCCTCCGCCTCCTCCTTCTCCTCCTCCTCCTCCTCCTCCTCCTCCTCCTCCTCCTCCTCTCCCTCCTCCGCCTCCTCCTCCGCCTCTCCCCCCCCCCTCCTCGCCTCCTCTCCGCATCTCTCGCCTCCCCTCCGTCCCCTCCTCGTTCCCCTCCTCCTCCTCCTCCTCATCCTCCTCCCTCCTCCTCACACCTCCTCCGCTCCCCTCCTCCCCTCTCCCCTTCTGCCTCCTCTCTTCTCCCTTCTCTCCTTCCACCTTCCTTCTCCTCTTCTCCTCCCTCCCTCTCCTCCATCCCCTCCTCATCATCATTCATCATCACTCTCACCAAGCACCATACCATCACCATCACCATCCCATCATCACTCCTTCCCCGTGGCACAATCTCATCATTCCCTCATCGTCATCATCATCATCATCAGCATATCATCATCACCAATCACCATCACCATCACCATCTCATCATCATCAGCATCATCATCATCACATCCATCAGCAGCAGCATCATCATCATCACCCAATCCACCCTCACCATCACCACACATCACCATCACCATCACCATCACCTCACCATCATTCTTCATCATCATCATCATCATCATCATCATCATCATCATCATCATCATCATCATCATCATCATCATCGTTCATAGTCATCATCATCACCATCACCACACCATCATCATCATCATCACCATCATCATCATCATCATCATCATCATCATCATCATCATCATCATCATCATCATCATCATCATCATCATCATCATCATCATCTTCATCTTCATCATCATCATCATCATCATCATCATCATCATCATCGTCCTCGTCCTCCTCCATCTCCTCCTCCTCCTCCTTTCCCACCCTTACCCCCTCCTCCCCTTCCCCGCCCCTCCTTAAGGAGCATGCCGGAGGCAGACCTGGAGGCCGCCGAGATCCTGCATTGGACGGGGCCGCTGAAGCCTTGGCTGCCAGGCGGACTTCACAGGGCGCTCTGGGAGCCCTTCGCCGTACACTGCTGGCGGGGCCACGAGGAGTGCTGCGCTCCTTCTCTCAGACATCGTCGGTAAAAGCAACTTCTCTCAGCCGTCGGCCGTGGCGTCGGACGACCGGGAGACACTGAGACGCCCTGGGCCACAACGGGGCCACACTGAGCCGTCCTTGGCCGCACGGGGGCCACACTGAGCCGGCCTCGTCAGGGCCGTCAAGCCGTCCAGGGAGGAGGAGGAGGAGGAGGAGGAGGAGGAGGAGGAGGAGGAGGAGGAGGAGGAGGAGGAGGAGGAGCGAGGGGAGGAGGAGGGGGGAGCGAGGAGGAGGCGGAGGAGGGGAGAGGAGGAGGAGGAGGAGGAGGAGGAGAGGAGGAGGAGGAGGGGGAGGAGGACGAAGGGAGGATGAGGAGGAGGAGGAGGAGGAGGAGGAGGAGGAGGAGGAGACACCGAGCCGTCCTGGGCCACACAGGGGCCACACTGAGCCGTCCTGGGCCTCTCTCTTTGGGCCCTCGTGGGCGGCGGCGGCGGCGGCTGGTGCCGCCGCCAAGCAGCGCGCGCTGCGGGCTCCCGCCAGGAGCTCCTCTGAGCGCTGTCGCGCGGTGTGCGGGCACGGCCAGGCGGCTGGTCGGGGACGTCGCCGCCGCCGCCGCCGCCGCGGCCGCCGCGGCCGTCGTCGTCGTCGTCGTCGTCGTCGTCGTCGTCGTCGTCGTCGTCGTCTTCGAGGTTGTCGTTGCAGTCGTCATCGTTGTCGTCTGCGTCGAGCTTGTCGTCGTCATTGTCAACGTCATGGCCGTCGTCGTTGCCATCGTCTTCGGTATCGTCGGCGTGTGCATTTACTTTAGGCCAGTGCCGTTGAGGAGATGAATTCCGAGACGCGATCCCTGCGCTCTGGGAAGTGACGAATGGGCGAGGGACGCTTGGGGGCACGTATAGGAGATATAGGAGTGAGATTTCGAGGAAACGGAAACCTGGGTTAAGGCGCGTGGATTGGCGTCGGGTCTCGCTTTCATGCGAAGTCGCCCCGCTGCGTTGCCGAATCAGGGGACTGGCGCCATGCTTCTGGGGGTGCTCTGGCCGATCCGTGGACCTAACGCCCACGGATCCGAAGCCTATATGATCGTGCGCTCGAGGGTTGCTAAGTGAACTTGGAGCCTCCCAGCTGGCTTGTTCGCCTTTCTTTACAGTCTCCGCCACGCTCCCCGTCTCCCCGCGTCGCAGGGCTTCGAAGCCACGTGTTTTTTCTTCTCGCGACGTGGGCCCTCGGAGCCCTCGACCTCATCCCCAGGACAGGCTTTCCGTCGCGGATCTTTTTGAGAGTCTTGGGACCTGTAAGCGCCCTCCGCCCCCAACGCAGAAGTCGAGAGAACAGAAAGCAGCCGCTGGGGTCTCCCTGCCTCGCGGGCGAGTCCACTTCGCGCCAGAGAGGGGGTCGTGATCGTCGTCGTCGTCGTCGTCGTCGTCGTCGTCGTCGTCGTCGTCGTCGTCGTCGTCGTCGTCGTCGCCGCCGCCGGCGCCTCCGCCGTCGTCGTCGTCGTCGCCGCCACCGCCGCCGCTGCCGCCACCGCCGCCATCGTCGTCGTCGTCGTCGTCGTCGTCGTCGTCGCCGTCTTGTTCGCCGCCGCCGCCGCCGCCACCGACACCGCCGCCATTGCCGTCGTCGTCGTCGTCGGCGGCGGTGGTGGCGGCGACGACGACGACGAAGTCGACGATGGCGGCGGCGGCGGCGGCGACGACGACGACGACGACGACGACCCCTCCCTGGTGCGCCGTGGACTCGCCCGCGAGGCGGGGAGGCGTCGGCGCCGCGAGTGGCGGCGCGGAGGCGGCGGAGGACACCGCCCCGGGTCGGGGAAGACGTAAGACTCGAGCAAGCCGGAGCTCGGGTCTGCCGCCGTTTTTTCGACGAGCGCGGCCTGGATTTGGACGGTCCAGTTTTCGGAAAGTGCGCCAGTGGATCTCCCTGAATACACTAAAGGGGGGGGGTTCGGACCTCCCCGACGACGGATCGGAGAAAGGGGGGGAGGGGGGGGGGTCCCCGACGACGGATCGGGGAAGGGGGGGAGGGGGGAGGTTCCCCGACGACGGATCGGGGAAGGGGGGGGGGGTTCCAACCCCCACCCCCCTTGGGGAGATCCAGCGGCGCACCCTCCAGTTTTCGTCGGATGTTTGCAGCGGGAGCTCGCGTCAAATTTCAGTGTGTGTGTGTCTCGTCATTTTCATGACGGCCCCGTCGGGCCAGCCCGAGTCCCCCGTGCTCGAGGCTTACATCTCTCCCCGAGGGGCCCGTGGAAGCGCGCAGCCTGCGGGCTGCGCAGCCGGTGCTGGGCGCCTCTGCTGCTTCTCGCAGGGTCCGGCGGCTACCTCATGGTCAGCGGGCCTGCCCGTCCCAGAGGGCTCGTTTCGATTGGGTTCGACTTCGGTGGCGTCCGATTCCGAGTCGGTTCGGCTTCGGATCTCGATGCGGATGGCGATGTCTCAATGGAGGCCTGCGAACTTGCCGACGTCCGCCGAGTGGACCTCTCCCGCCTCGGCTGCCGAGGTCCGCCGGCCCGAGTCCTGGCGACCGCCGATCCGACTCGTCGATTCGATTCTGGGCTCGCCTGCCGTCCCCCCCCCCACGATAATCATACCTCGCAGGCCCAGAGACTGACACCAACACCAATTTCGGCGGTCCGCCTCCACCGAGGGAAGAGGATCCCGATCTCGGTGATGGTGGTAATATTCTGGCTTCAAGGTGGCCGAACTATTACCACCAACACCGAAAATCTAGGATCACCTTCCCCCTGTGGCGGCAACCCCCTGTCTTGGTGTTGGTGCCAACTTCCAGGCCTCCGAGTACCTTGTCGGTTGCGCAGGTGTGGATGGGGGTGCGCAGTGCTGGCGCGCGAGGGCCTACGTGGGGCTGCCTCACTCGGAGAGGTCAGGCTGCTGGGCCCCCACCCACATCCGATCTGCTGGGCCAGCGCCGAAGAATTCCAAAACAGTCCTCGGCCGTACGGGCAGGATCGCAACGGGCGTGTGTAGAGTGTTAAGTCGGGCCTGTCCCTCTACAGGGGGAATATTCAAACATAGTCAAAAAATAATCAGGGGACTTATTTTTGGGGTATTTCTCACCATGTTGGAGCATTTTTTGGGAGTAATTTTTATTTTTCGTCCAAAATCCCCCTGTAGGGGGACAGGCCCTACCTGAGCGTAGAGAGCGGGGACCCAGATCTCCGACGCTGCGTTCTGTGGCAATCCGTGCGGCTTGCTCTTCGGCTCCAGCCCTTGAGGGCAGGTTGTCTGGCCCCGGGGCCACTGAAGACAGGTCCGGGGCGCAGAACAAGAACCCAGGGGAAGGGTCGGGATCTCCTGGGGCCGTGGATTGATTACCAGCCTGGAACATATCCCTATCCCTATGCTGGGCATCTCCTCATCACGATGCCAATCTTAGGGATTCCCTGATTTTTTGAGGGCGAATCCCTAAGATTGTCATCGCCTTTTGGCGTGTCAATCTTAGGGATAGGGATAACGTTCGAGTCTGGTAAATTGAATCGCTTCGCTCATTCCGCCGGCCCATTTCGCATGACTGAGCCTCTTGGGGCCGTTGGGGGGCCTCTTCAGCGTCGCTTGGGGGCCTCCTGAGGGCCTCTTGGGAGCTTTTGGGGCCTCTCAGGAGCCTCTTGAGGCCTCCTGGGGGCTTCTTAAGGCCGAGGGCTCGAAGTTTTGTTTTGTGTTCCCCCTTTGGGGCATCGCTTGGGGCCCTCTTGGGCCCCTCTTGGGCCGTCTTGGATGCCTCTGGGGCCGTCTTGGAGCCCTCTTGGGCCATCTTGGGGCCTTCTTGGGAGCTTCTTGGGCCCTCTTGGGGCGATCTTGGGGGCCTCTTGGGCCGTCTTGGGGCGTCGGGAAGCCGAAAAGATGGACACGCCCAAATCTGCCCAAAACCTAAGGAAAAGTAAGGAATTTTGCCTCTTGGGGCCCTCTGGGGAGCTCTTGGAGGCCTCTTGGGGCGTCTGGGGGCCATCTTGGGCGTCTTGGAACGATCGTGTGGCATCTCGGAGCACTCTTGAACCATCTTGGAGGGCTCTTGGCGGCCTCGTGGCTCTTCTTGGGGCTCTCTGGAGGGCCACGGGGGCGGCGCCCAGGAGGAAAACCATCTCTGACCCGACCCTGCCGGGGATCGCCCGGGGTACTTTTCGTCCGGGGACCCCCAGGGGCCGCCCCGCGCGCGCGAAGTAGAAGTATTATTTAGCAGTTACCGGAGATCTTAGCACGCCTCTGGCCCGTTGGGCCGGCGAATTGACAGAATCAGATCGGGGGATGTCGGGGGGCGAGTGTGGGACACGTGAGACACGAGCTCGCCAGAACGCGGGCCGGCCAGCGCTCTCTAACTCGCCCGCCCTGAGTTGGGGTGGTCCAGTCTTCGTCGGATGCCTGCAGCGGGAGCTCGCGTCGAGCTTCAGACTGGGTCGTCGTCATCTTCCCGACGGCCCCGGCAGGCCCCCCCGAGCCCCCCGAAGCAGAGTCCCTGCGCCTCCCCGCACGCAGGCCGAGAGCACCCCTTTGCCCGCTCCGAGCCGGGCCCGCCGTGGCTGCAGGCGCGGGCGCCTGCCCCGCCGGGCATCGTGCCCGCTGCCTCCGCGTACCTGGCCCGGGCGGCGCAGTCGGCCCTCGGGGTGCCTGCGCGCGGCGCCGGCCTC